CACCATATGATGCCCTCTGCCAGATTATGACACCAGAAGAAGGCCTTTGCCAGGTGCCGGCACCTTGATATTGGACTTCCCAGGCTCCGAAGCTGTGGGAAATAAATTTTCTTTATAAATTACCCAGACTGTGGTATTCTGTTATAGCAACGCAAAACAAAGACAGACAGTGCCCTTTTTTCTGCTGTCGAAACAAGATGAGGGTAGGAATTCTCAAGGGACTCTCCCCAAATCTGAAGGAAATCACAGACCTGCACTGCTGCTTTGAAGGTGTCCATCAAGACCCTGGGTTTACTCTAGCTCTGAATTCCATTTCCACTGTGTGTGTTTGGGGCTTGACAGGGATAGAGAGGGTGATGGTGATGATGGTGTGGTCGCTTTCTCTTTAATCCACGGCTGTTGAAGTTCAGACCACATTTGGGCCAAATGTGGAAATTAACCTTTTTTTTGTTGTTGTTGTTGAGACAGAGTCTTGCTTTGTCACCCAGGCTGGAGTGCAATGGCACGATCTCAGCTCACTGCAACCTCCGCCTCCCGGGTTCAAGCAATTCTGGTGCCTCAGCCTCCCAAGTAGCTGGGATTACAGGCACATGCCACCACGCCCAGCTAATTTTTGTATTTTTAGTAGAGATGGGGTTTTGCCATGTTGACCAGGCTGGACTCAAACTCCTGACCTCAGATAATCTGCCTGCCTTGGCCTCGCAAGTGCCAGGATTACAGGCGTGAGCCACTGTGCCTAGTGACCCTCTTTTTAAATATACTTCACCTAGAAATCCATTTTCTGAGACAAAACATGGAAGTGATCATACTCCCTGCCAGTCTGATGTGACCAGAGCGCGGCTTAACTTATGGTTTCTAAACTTTTTATTCACAAAGGAAATATTACAGGGAGGGCCAGTACATACAACAGGGAAAGGCTGACAGCTCCAGGGGCAACTGAGGGCTGACAGGAGCCCCGCCCTCCACTCTTGCTCTTCCTGCTCCCCCCACACATCCTGGGAGCATCCCTTCAGAACCCCACGGGCTCCACAGGGTGTAGTTGGAAATCACTGCATACATAGAAAATATGAGCAGGAAAACCACACATGAAGAATTATTACTAAGGGCTGCCATAAGCATCATGCTTGTCCTTTGGGGAATTATGATTCATTCACCAAATAAGAACTTACCACCATTTCTTCTAGCGTGCTTTATCCACTGTGTGCACAGAAGAGATTGATTCCATTGCCACAGTGGCCATTTTAAATTTTAATAGATGCTGTCCCTTTGCTTTGGTTCTCCTTAAATATTCAAATTAGATTCATTTTTATGGTCCCAGAAATGTGCTAGATTTAACAGGAGTCATTAAAATGTCTAAAAACGTATATTTCAGGGAACTCCCAACATAGACAGTATGAAGAAACACACAGGCCCGCGCGCACACACACACACACACACACACATACATATATAGTTCACTTATATAAAGTGAAAAGAGTAACAATTCGTGACAAGTGAAGTGATATTATAGGACAATGTATGAATAAAAACCAAGCCTGTTGCTCAGAACATAATGGCTCTAGGAATTCAGTGCTAAGATTACCTTGTATCACAGTAGCATCCTAATTATGGTATGTAGAAAAATGAAGGAGGTTGAATTCTGCTCTCCTGGGCCCTGGTCACGTCTCACCCAAAATGTTGACTTAGCTCTGAGCACCTCACTTTCAGAAAAACGTGGTCAAAGCACAATGGGCTCTGATGTGAGATCATGTCCTGTGAAGAACTGTTGGTAGAGTTGGTAGAGTTGTAGCTGTTTTGTTTGGGGAAGGTAGTACACTGGTATGATCCTTACTTCACCAGGGATTTTCATGGAAAAGAATACGTCCAGCCTCTCTACAGCACTTCTTCCCCTCTATCCTCCCTATTCACCTCTCCAGTGGGGTGGACACCAGGGGGTGCCACTGACACAGATTATAGTGTGAACTGTGTCCCTTTGAGCTGTGCAAAACAGTGGCCCAGTCACTGCCTTTACAGAAAGGGATTTGAGTTTTTCCATGTGGTTTCAAAAAGTAGGTACAAATTAAAAGGCCAGAAAACAAGGGTAGTGAGATTTTGGCTTAAGATAAGGACATTCTAACAGTGGGAGAAGATAGAATGAGTGGCTGTAGATGTAAGTGTTTGGAAAGGAGTTTTATTTAGAAGGAAGTCTGTGCCTCTAAAATTGATAATAATGATAGTATCCGGTGAACTGCATTTTCATGACGTGAGTGGCCTTGTAGTATTTTATGTTTTTCACAAGTGGTCTCCTTCTTAATCACTACACCATTACTTCTAGATAGGAATTATAATGATCTTTATTTTATAGATGAAGAAACTGAAGTTTGGACAAATTGTATTACTTTCCTAAGGTCACAGAGAGAACAAATTTCTAATTTCAAAATTAGTCTCTCTAATTTCAGAATGCAAACCCTTAACCATTATGCCACATTGCCTTTCAACAATGAGTTACAAAATCCCATCTTTCTTAGCGTGTTCAAATGCTCAATTGTTGTGAAACTTGATCTACGAATAAAATTAGATCTTGACGTTGTACCTCAAGGGGTAAAATCATTTTTATGGAACAAGGGTAGGTGAGATGGATTTGTCTTACTCTCACTACTCACTGATACCTATGTCTGGGACTCAGGGGTGAACCTGCACACCTGGACTCCAGATGGGGAAAGCTGTTCTACACATAGCATATGCCTCCAGATCCAATTCTATCATCTCAGGCACCCAATGCATGAAAGATGTGCAAAGGCTCATGCTGGATATTTTGATTTTGTCATTTCCCAAATGCCCTCTCCAAAAATCACCTTAAGGAGGCAACATGTGGTCTTACATGAAACTTCAGAGCTGCTAGTGGGAGCAGAAAGGAACAGAGCCCATTGGAGAACACTCGGTGCTCACCGTCATGTTGGAAACACTGAGATAAAAAGGAGAGGCAAGGTCTTTAACTATGTATGCATCCAACAGCTGCAGCTCTCTTATTGCTTGTGCTATGTCTGCGAAGTGAAGACCATGGTGAGACCCTCACTGACGCTCTGTTAGTGTTAAAACAGATGTTCCTTCAACACTCACATCTTAGGTGGCCACTTTCACGGGGTGGAAAAGGATAATCTAAACCTTCCTGTTCTTGCCAAAATAACCAGGTCTTTGTTCTGCACGTCTCTGGAACACACAGATAGATTTCCAAGCAGTGGGAACCTCCTGTCCTGTTCAGTTGTTGGACAAACTCTTGTTCTGCCCATTTCACCCTAGTTTCCTGAAATCCTGGCAGTAGGGCTCCCATGACTGGAGCCTGTGAGAGCCTCCTTTGTCAGGAGAGTTTTCACACCTAAAGCCATCAAGGCTGGCAGTGAAGGACACTGGGCTTCAAGCCCATTACAGCGATGACAGGTATTGTCTTGGCTGCCCAAGCTGAGTGGTCGTCCCTCTGCAGGTCTGTCTGGCTCCATCCCAGGGAGGAAGGTGGTGGAAGGCACCCATGGACTGCAGTTGGCTCTGCCTGGCCATGGGGGAGGATGGCAGAGGACTGATCTGTTGCTGCTTCAGAAGTGTGGAAATTGTTTTGCCCTTTAAACTGATAGAGAAACAAGCTGGAACAATAAAACTAATCCTCCGAAGCAATCTAAGCATGGAAACCAGAAATGTATACTCAAATATTTTCTCCATTTTCTTTCTTCATAAATTTGGAACATTTGTGGCAGAAAGAGAAATCAGAATAAAATGGATTTAGAAAAGAGAGAGAAGTAGTTTAGAGGGTTGTATAGGGAGGCAACATGATAAAGACGGAAGAAAAATGGACTTGGAGAGAGAACAGTCAAATCTGGGCCTGCCTCTGAGTGCCTGTGTGGCCCTAGGCAAGTTTCCCTTTGACTTGAAGACCTGGGTCTCTATGATCCCTTTCAGTTGTAAGATTAAGACCTAAGAGTTCTTGCTTATATAAACAGAATTCTTCCAAGGCCATAATTATTCCCATAATCAAGAACTATTTATTAACTAAGCAGCAGTGTGTGATTTTCTCAAGATAAGAGCAAGAAGAAATGGTCCTTACAGGCTAGATAGCTGTGACATGGACCAACAACTAAGCATATCTAAAAACTCAACTAATTCATAATATGAATTCAAAATATGAATTGAATAAGCAAAAAAAAAAAATTATACCATGAGAGTTGAATATTTTGGCAGGGGAAATCCAGCCCCTGACTTCAGGATGGTACTTTCTGTTTTGATTGAGCCTGAGTCACACTGGACTCTCTGGCATGGGCATAACCCAAGCATCTGCATGGCAGAGTTCTGGCTCATTGCCATTTGCAACAGACACGAAGGGTGAGATCAAACAAAAGGAACCTTCTCGGGTTGACCATCATAAATGCTGAAGACCAAGGCTTCAACTCACTTACTGGAGTGGATTTCCTTTTATGGATGGACTTGGGCACCCTGGGGAGACTAAGAATGTTAAGTAACTTAACCAACACGCAGTAAGGAGTGGGATCAGGATTCTTCTCCAGAGCTAACAGTTTTAACTGCCATTCTACATTGCCTGCCTGAGACAGCTGCCAACCTGGGCTTCTGTAACTGCCACTCCATGCTTCTCAAGCCGGGGTGCACGTTAGACTCATCTGGAGAGCTTTGTGAAGCCATCCATGTCCAGGCTCGCCCACACAGTCCTCAGTTTTCTTGGTTTGAGGAGGGGCCTGGGCACCAATACTTTTTAAAAGCTCCCTCTGGGTGATTCTAAGTACAATCAAGGTGTGAATCACTGATGTCCATAATGAAAAATGTCAGACTCCAAAGCAAACTCAGGTGAAGGACTGCCTTCATGGTATGGATCCCTAGCAGATTTGAGCCTTAGAGGATTGGACTAGCAGCTTGTGGAATCGGATGCAAATCTTCCGATCCTCTAAGGGCAGATAAGCCTCTAGACTCATGAGAACGCTGGTCTTGGTGAAAATCCCCTGCATACCACAGGCCTCCCTTGGAGGAATCACCTAAAGAAACACCATGAAGAATTCGTTCTGGCCTCAAATAGTTACATGGATGTTTGTTGCAGGAAGATACATTTAACCATTGAAGTTCCTACTCATTGAGTGAACCCTGTTTCCCTCCTCTCTGGTTTCCAGAAACAAGGATTTTTTCTAAACTCCACTTACTTCTTGCCTCATGGCTAATGCCCATGGAGGTGGGGTGAGTGACCTGCTGGTGACCAAGGGAAATGAATCTGCACAGGAAGCCCAGGCCCTCCCTCCCTCCCTTCTCATTAGAAGCCAGCTTCCCCTGGAAAACAGCCACATTCTGCTCTACTTTGTCATGTCAATGGGCCCCTCCCTCAGTGGGAAGGCTTAAGTTTTGTAAGATTGACCAGAAGTGTGGTGATATTTCCTAATTCCAGGGAATGGAGCTAGTCATGCCACACATTTTTGCTGTTCTCACGAACTGAGGTAATTATTTATTTATTTATTTATTTATTTATTTATTTATTTATTTATTTATTTTGAGGAAGGGTCTTACTCTGTCACCCAGGCTGTGGTGTAGTTGTGTGATCACAGTTCACTATAGGCTTGACCTCCTGGGCTTAGGTGATTCTCCCACCGTAGCCTTTCATGTAGCTGGGACTATAGGTATGTGCCACCTCACCTCCTTTTCTTTTTTCTCTTTTCTTTTTCTTTTTTGGAGAGACAGAGTCTTCTTATGTTGCCATTTTGAACTCTTGCACTCAAATGATCCTCCTGCCTTGGCCTTCCAAAGTGCTGGGATTACAGGTATGAGCCACTGTGCCCTGCCCAAGGTAATATTTTGACCTTCCTTTACCTTATTCTTTGTCCATCTCTGAATTAGTTTATAACTTAGATGGGAAAAAAGAGGTGTGTAAATAAATAAATAAATACATAAATTTATTTATTTATTTAAATAAATCTTAAATAAATCCCATCAGTTCCCCCATAGAATGCCATTTCCCCCTAGCTGTCTATTCAAGTAACAAAACGAACAAGAAAACACTACAAATTCTCTCCCTATTTATACTATCCCACCATTATGTTATAACTCTCATTATAATGTTTTAGTTTTTCCTTGAAATAATAATCATCAACCCATTTGTAAACCATATGTTTCTACCCACAAGTGACAACCAGAATTTCAGAATTAATTGCAAGAGCCATAAAGAGCTTTTTGGACATTTCCCTAAGAGCCTCCACGAATAGTAACAAGGGCGAATAGTAACCCCCGGCTCCAGCTGTCCCCACTGCTGTGGTAGGTTATGATACTTTCTTTCTTTAAGTAAAGGCCAAGAGGGATGGCTTTTCAGGACTTCCAGAGTCTGTATGACATGAAAAGCTTATTCCAGTAAAGGGAACAAGACCCTTGTCATCTGACACCAATGAGATGCCCTTCCCTTGACTGGCAGGGATCTGGAGGAGGAGGAGCAGATAACCTTCAGCCTAAATAAGCAATACCATCATTATTCTGGAATCTCTCTGAAGCATGGCTGGTTACAGTGCGGAATTCCACAGGGCACGTGTCTCTCTTGGACTCTATCCAAGGGAGTAATTTATCAGAAGGACCTCATTATAACAGGGGCTCCAGGGACAGTGCCAGTCAGCAGGCTTCAAGGTAGCTGGTAAAATTCTGGTGCTGGTCTGTTTAATCACTGCATGCTTGTTAGTACAGTCAAGCCTCAGTTACAACAGAATCAACAGCCCAGTTTGTCACTCATCCATTCCTTGTTCCGTCATCACCTGGTTGAGTTTCTGGCTTGTTTATTGGACAACTCTGGGTGTTGGGCAAAATGAGTGCCTCTTGTTTGAAATGCCTAATCCAGAGGCTTTTCACCTACGTGTTGTCTTCTCTCACCAGCACCTCTGCTCCGTGCCATGCTCTTGGCTAATTGAAGTTGTGAAAGGCATGAGGATTCTGGTCATGGACTCAGCTCTCCCACAGGGGTCTGACACCAAAGTAATGGTCACAACAATGAAAGGAAGAATACATCTGGCCAGGCTCAGGTGGTTTAAGGCCTTCAGAATCTGCCTTGAGACTCTCCAGTGACAGTCTTTAGACTGAAAACCATCTTGGCCCCATCCATCCCTGTAAGCAATTTAACAACAGCTTGCAAAGCACCGAGCTTTAACAGAAAGAAGAGATGAGCACGGCACAAGAACTTGGACTCCAGAAGAGCTGCCTAACAGATTATTTTTCTGTGGTATTTCATGAGAACAAACAAAGTAAGAATTTTCCTTTTGTCCGTCTGGCCTTTGGCATTGTTTACTTTCTTTTTATTCTTCTGAACTGTACTTTGAGCCCTGGCAGCATTTCTGTCCTAAAATCTTATTGTCAGAGGTTTTTCAGCTGTTTCAAATCATACCTGATAGAGTGAGTGTGCTGCCTGGACTCATCCCTTTACTTCAGAAGAAATACAGCTCACCCTTTAAATGACAATGGTGATTGTCCACAGCTTTATGTTTTCTACACTGAAGTGGCAGGCTTCATTTAAAAATAGTGTTTTCCCTCATCAAAAAAGAACTAGGGTAGAACCCTCAACTCTGCTGATATCCAGGTAGTGACCTAACACCCATGTTTTGGACAATCACTGCCTTAAATCAGGTTTTCATTGCTTGTAGGATAATTCTTTGTCAATGGTGGTTTTGTCACCTGTGATGTGAGGTAATGAGGTTTTCTACTTTTGCTTGAAATTTTGAAAATATGCAAGCTTTTAACATTTGCAAAGTTGGATTCTGTTTTCTTTACAAAGCAACCTGATTTGCCGATGTTTTCTCCATCTGTCAGGGTATGCGTGATGTGGTGCAGACTTAAAGTGCTGCCCTTCTGGAACATGGACAGAGTAGCAGCACAGAAAAATGAGCATTTCAGCTCTGTGATGATTTGTGAAAAAATTTCAGATCATCGAGCAGGCATTTTGCTGACACCTGTGAAAAGTAACCACATCAGAGAGCGTGGCGTGATGGTCGGAGGCCACATGCTGGAGTTGGACTGCTTGAGTCAAATCCCAGCTGCTCAGCTGTAGGGAACTGAATGGTGGTCCCCAAAAGATATGTGTATCTCCTAATCCCTGGTACCTGTGAATGTGACCAAAGACCCTTAAAGGGTCTTGGCAGATGTAATTACATTGAGGCTCTCAGAGATGAGAACATCCTGGATTATCAGGGTGGGTCCTGTATCCAATGACAAGTGTCTCCTTATAGGAGACAGAAGAAGATGCAGACCCAGAAGAGACTAAGTAAAGATGGAAGCAGAGACTGGAGTGAGGCTGCCACAGGCCAAAGAATACCTGGTGCCAGCAGAATCTGGAAGAGGCAAGGAAGGACACTTCCCTGGGGCTTTCGGATGGAGCACAGCCCTGCTGATGCCTTGGTGTTGGACATCTGGGCTATGGGACTATGAGAACCTTCTGTTGTTTTAAGCCACCCAGTTTGTGGTACTCTGTTATGGCTGCCACAGGAAACTAATACACCCTTTACCACCTGAGTGACCTTGGCCAACTTACTTAACCTCCACGAATCAGTCCCCTCAAAGGAACACCCTCCCCCCAGGCTCACTGTGATGATAAAATGCTTTGGCATAGGTGACTGGTTTAGACCAGGGTCTGCTACCTAGCACGTGCTATGCCAGTGTTTCTATCATGGCAAGAGCAGATGCAGCGGAGCTTAGATTTCAACTGTATCCATGCTGGTTAGAAAAGTCACAGTCTGGGACACAGGACACTTCAGGAAGAATCTCCCTCACTGGATCCCAGTGTTCCAGCAATGTTTTCCAAGCAGCTGAAGAACAGGAAGCAGGAACAGGGTTCCCTACAAGAGCCATTATTCAGATGCCTCTACATCTGACTGGTGTTGGAGAAGTATGACTTCTGGAGGTTTATGTGCTGGGACTTTAACAGCATACATACTAAAAACAACATTTATTTTCCTCAGATGCTGGGCTCTCTATGAGCCTTGACCTCCCTGAGAAGATTAGAGGCAGGTGCCTAATCTGATCGGTCAACTCAGTGAAACAACTGCATTGATTAAAGCCATAAGATGTTAGGATTCTCTGCTCTTGGTGGCCTAAAAGGTCCCATTCCTTTCCCAAAGTGCTTAGCTTGATCCCATCCCAGGGAACAATTTTGGGTGGATGAGAACCTGGCCACAGAGCATGAGATCATGTATGACTAAGTCTACTTGCCTTCATGGAAAGATACATGGAGTTTTGGGCAATTTCTTTGAACCCCTCTAGAGGCTTCTAAAGATTGTTTAGCACCATCTGGTTTTTAATCCTGGATGCCAAACTTGTTGATTTTTGCCCTGGACCATCTGTTTTTCAACTTCCCATGGAACCTTTCTTTGGGCCAAGTAGGGAAAGAAATAACTGTATTTTTAATTATTTTTGTTTTGCCTTCTCATCCCAGTCACAGCATTAGAAAGGGAAAATCAACTGTCTGACAAAGCTCTGAAAGATTGGACATGAAGTGCTGGCCTTGCTATCTGCAAGGCATCTCCCTATATAGATTGGATACCTTTTCCTTCACTCCCTGATAAAAAGTGAGACAGACTGAGCATAGTCTTGTGACCATTTAATGCCTGTGCCCAGAATACGGGTCTGTACCACTTAGAGCAGTCACAGTGGGGAGGAGCAGGGACCCTGGGGTCTGCCTGCCTGTGTCTGAATTTCAGCTGAGCCCATTCCTAGACCAGTGCCTGGGAAAGCTATCTGACCTCTGAGATCCAGTCTACTAGCCTCACAAGTGAGATTGTGACAACACTTACCTCAATGAGGCATTGGACATCATCTCATTTAATCCTCAACATGCCTCAGTGTCTAGCATTTAACAAGCTCCCATAAACGTTAGTTATTATTATTCCTTAATATGAATAGCATTTAAAATAATAAAGTGGGAGAGAGCAATGCTGCATGCCGTACCACTGGCCAGAGAGCTTGCAGCAGGAAGAATGCTTAGGTGGAACACACAGGCCTTTTCTGTATTCATCCCATTCCAAAGGATTTTGGGGTTGCCATATATGGAACATTAAGATTAGAAATGGCCATTTCCAAACTGGTGAATCCCTTGGTGCCTTTTTCTCCACTGTGATTCATCTGGGGTACCCTCAGTTTTCAGTGATCATGGTCATTCCAAACCAACCATGAGCTGGGGGAACATTGTACTATGGTAAACCCAGGGTCACCTGACCAGAGCTCCAATTTTATAAACCCAAGTTGTAGGTGGGATGATGGATGCGGGCTTCTCTGGCAAATGCTTCTTGAGAATTGTGGACACTGTCACTTCTAGGGGGCTGCAGTTGCCTCATTGTATAATTCTGGTCATCAGAAAGGAGGCAGTCATGGATGAGCTGCCCTTCTGGACAAAATGACATCCCTCTTATTGAAAAAGGTTAAGAGGCTACTTTCTTCCCCCCCCCCCCCGCCTCACAACCACTATTTATTGCATAAGATTTCCGAATGATGATGATAAAAAAGCAAGTTTATAGACACATCATGAGGTTGTATGAATTAAATAAAGTAATATCTGGGACAGATATATCAAAGAAAATTGAACCCAAAATGTCTAACTTTGCAGTCCATACTCAGCCAGAACTCCCAATGAATTAAAACACAGACTGCATAATTATGTACACAAAATGCCTTTAAAGTTGCTCCATAAATTTGAAGAAAAAAGGATAGTCTGTTTAAAGCTACTAGGGCAAAATTCCTTACTGTGGGTTTATAGGCACTAGTACAAGTGGTTCCCAAATCCCCCTTTTTATTTTTTAATTATAAATAAGAAAGAACAGAGTCTCCCCTTGCAACTTCCACTTCGTCGCAGCCTCCAGGCACAAAGGACAGAGTTCCTGGAAAAAAGGAAGGCTTAATTCCAGGTCTCTAATAGCAAATTATAGTCAGACTGAACATTGATTATATTTAAATCTACCATATTTTTCTTTTGAAAACCATATATTATTTAACATCTTGAATGTTTTACACTGAATTTGTTGAAAAATTCTCCCTGTGTTTTCAGGCCTTTATCATAATTTTGTTTTTATTTCTTAATTTTTCTTTTCAACTAAGTGAGAGAATTAAGTTAAATGAGCAATAATATATAAGTCATTCAGTTAATGTAGAAATTTTGGGCCAGCCATGGAGGCTTATGGCTGTAATCTCAGCATTTTGGGAGGCCGAGGCAGACAGATCACTTGAGCCCAGGAGTTCGAGACCAGCCTGGGTAACCTGGAGAAACCCTGTCTTTCCCCCAAAATACAAAAATTAGTCAGGAATGGTGGCATGTGCCTCTAGTTCCAGCTACTCGGGAGGCTGAGGCATGAGAATAGCTTGACCCTGGGAGGCAGAGGTTGCAGTGAGGCAGGATCTCACCACTGCACTCCAGCCCAGGCGACAGCAAGACCTTGTCAAAAAAGAAAAGAAAAGAGGAGAAAAGAGGAGAA